TTCATGAAGTATATTGGTCTGTAATTCTCTTTTTTTCCTTGTGTCTTTCTGTGACTTGGGTACCAAGGTAATTTTAGCCTCATAGAAAGAGCTTGACAATGTCCCTTGTGTCGCTATTGTGTGGAACAATTGGAGGAGTACTGTTATTAGCTCTTCTTTTAATTTCTGGTAGAAGTCTGCACTGAAGTCATCTGGCCCTTGGCTTTTTTTGGATGGTAGACCTTTGATGACTGCTTCTATTTCATTAGGGTTATAGTTCTGATTAAATTTCTTATCTGTTCTTGATTTAATTTTGGTAAGTGATATCTATCCAGAAAATCATCCATTTCCTTTAGATTTTCGAATTTTGTGGAGTACAGGTTTTCAAAGAATGACCTGATAATTATCTGTATTTCCTCAGTGTCCATTGTTACATCCCCCTTTTCATTTCTGATTTTGTTAATTAGCATGCTCTTTCTCTCTGCTTTTTGGTTAGTTTGGATAAAGGTTTGTCTATCTTGTTGCCTTTCTTGAAGAACCAACTCTTTGTTTCATTGAGTCTTTGTAGTGTTTTCCTAGTTAATTCTTACTTTCAACTGAGGTCTCTTATCATTAATAGAGGTTTGCCAAGATATGTGTTTCTCATCTCCTCTAATCACGTTTGATTCCTCATCACTAGTCAAACTACCATCTAGAGTAAATATCATTTTTTATAATAGGCAATGTACTATCTATTCGTCCTGTGAGAGATTGTCCTCCACAGTGATTGGGAATGACTGGACCTTTCTTGATGTGGGGGCCTCTGAGAATCCCCTCAAGGAGTTTCCCAATTATAAACTTTTTCCTTGTATGTGTCTGGTCGATCTGCGTTTATTGGTCCAGTGCCTGCATCTACCACATTTCCTGCATAAATCCAGAAGGCAGAGACCTTCTATATGAGACATTGTTGAAATCTCCTTGCCTACAATTCCTTAGTATGTCCTATTCTGTCACATTTGAAATATCTAGTTTCCTGGTGCCTTCTTGGCCCTTTGGGGATTGCTCTTCCTACGCAAGTTCTTGTTCCATTTCAGTGACTGCATCTGGCCTCTTGGTTACTGTTTTGATCTTTGTAAGTTGCTTCTCCTTCCCAAGCAACTGCGTCATTACCATGAGAACATTTAACCTCTTGGTGTCTCTTTAATTCTTTTGAGATTGCCTTTCCTACCAAAGCTCCTGTATCTTGTACATTATAGTTGAGATTAGCTGTATGCAAAACCCTTTCTTCCGTTGGTGCTGATCTGATCTTTAAAGGGAAAAATATTCTTTTGCATATCGGGTTAGCATTTTGCTGGAGAGTATATGATCATTTTTCTAAGTTCTGTATCTGCTACCTGTAACTTCACTGGCCTGGATAGCCTGTGTAAAAAATATTGAAATTGTTCTGTCATTCCCTGTTCTATCTTTGTATAGGTTTCTACTCTTTCTCTTGGTTCACGAATCTTGTCCCAGGCATTTAAGACTGCCAACCTGCATAAGGACATTATGCTCATCATATCCAGCCTGAATTTGTGGGTTAGCATAAAGACCCTCACCAAGAATCTTGGGGAGCTTTATAACCTTTCTTTATGCCTTAAAGCTGGAGGGCTTTTCTACCTCCTTCCACAGAGCTCTCCACTCTATCTGAGACCAATTTTCCAGCACAGCTGATACTAGGCATTCCCTATCTGTGGGCATCACCCTATTAAAGGTTGTCCATGAATTTAATAATTCTTTCACATAAGGGCTATGGAGACCATATGAAATAACTGACTCCTTAATTCCTTTAAGGTCTTTTAATTGTATGCGTTCCCATTCATATGCCATCTGGTCATTTGGATGCTTTCTTGGATGGTGGTTTTTCTATCATAGTTGCTTGGAACAACATTAGTGTTTGCATAACAACCTTAGGAAAGTTTTCCTGATGTTTGAACAGAGTAGGTGCATTGGATTGGGAGTACTCCGATTCTGTGCCATCCAAAGCTTGTAGCCTGGCAACCATAGTCCCATGTAGAGATTGAATTTCATGAGTCATGTTAGAGTCTAAGAGTTTCATAGAATCAGTAAATTTCTTTATTTCTACATCTACAAGTGCTTCTAAATCTTTAATACTCTCATCCTTGGACAGTATCTGAATGGCATGTAAATTGCCTTCCAAATATACAATCCTAGACTCCAGCTTTTGGCCTGTGGTGGTAGATTCCTTAGACATGGAGTGAATTGCCTGTGGTAGGTCACCAATCTTGTCTCAGTTCTTAGCTATTTTTGCATTCAAAGCATTAGACATGGAACAAATTTTGGTTTCTATTTTGCCATGAGTCTTTTCCACCTGTGTTAGTAATGTAGTATGGCCAGACTGAGTATTCTCAAATTCTTTATGTAAACGTTCCATGTCTTCGATTTTTGAAATCAAAGTTTCCTGGCTTGCTTTTATATCCTGCATCCAATTTGCTAAACTGTCCTTTTCCCTAATCATCTGGTTAGAGATATCATATGGAATATAGTGCTGACTGCATATAGGTATACCACTGGCAACGCATAAGCCTCCTCTAACATTGAATTCACATAAGTAGCGAGAATATTCCCAATTTTCTGCAGGGTTAGATACTCTGCCATTCTGCAAGTTTACCTGTACTGCAGTTGCCATCCAGCTGCAGTAACTGTTTGACCAGCAGGTGGCGCAGTATGATGGTTGAGATGACACAGTGTTCAGCTGAGGAGGTGAAGTCCTGTCTTAAGACTACCTGAAAAATATCTGAACACTTTCCGACCTGTGTTAGAACGGACGGAAGGAATTGGCTGTTGTTAGCAGAAAAAAGGCCTTGGATAACCTGCAGGGCCATAGCCGGGTTCCGGATACCAGCGGATGACTTGGATGGCGCTGCTCAACCGGGCGGAAATGGTGGCAGCAGTGAGTTTGTCTCTTCTGTGATCAGCAGCACTTGTCCTGCAAGTAGCAGCTGTGGGTTTGGAGGTCTGCAGAGAAAAAAACCTCTCCCGGTGGGATCGAGCTGTAGCTGGCACCATGCAGCTGTAGTGCTTGGCAGTGTGTACTGTGGCTGCAAAGGCTAACACAGAAGGGGAGGAGCTTTGGGTTTCTAAAAATGGAGGAAACCCGCAAAAGGCATACATGGGCCAGCTTGTCTCAGTCCCAAGCTGCAGAAGCCACGGGGTAAAAACTGTGGTCTGGCTGGGTGGAAGAGAGTGCTGAACAGGGAAATAAATCCCGCCAAAGCTCATGACCCACACATGGGTTCAGAATCAAAACTACTCCTGACACCAGTTAAAGTAGAATGCAATGGAGTCAGAACTAGATTGACAACAGATACTTTATTAAGAAAGTCCTCATGTGACAGAGCCAGTCTTGTTCAGCCAGGCATGAGAGGGAAAAGAAGGTCGCATGCATGCTTCCCTGATATTTAAAGCCTTGCTACATCACCTGTGTCAGCCTCCAAGTGGGCGTGGACAGCATTTCTCCATACAATGGTTGTCATGTAAAACAGCATTGGGTTCCTCCTCTCAGAAATTAAAAATGCATCCATTGGACCATCAAACAATCTCATTCTCTCCATATCCTTGATGTAAAAAATGAGATGTTCTGAAATTTAGATAGCTAGGTATTAATGCATTCATTAATCCTGAAAATGTTGCTGATGAATATAAATAAAAGGAAACTAGCTAAAGAAATTCTTGGCCACCAACAAAGTTCCCCAGAAGATATATAAGGGAACCTTTCAGCCTGAAGATGAAGACAAACATACCCATGAGGCCACTGGGAAGAATGAAACCATGTGTGAAAATGGATAAGAAAGAAATGAGGAAAAACAGCATTATTAAAAGAAAGTAACTAATAGACAACTTTTAATTAATATTCAAATTACTACCAGAAAGTCAATGCTTTGCATCCCCCAATCAAAGAAAACAGACTGGCAGGTTGGCTTAAAAGAGAGGATTTTTCTATATATTTTTCTTCAAGGATTGTTCTTCAAGAAACAAACCTCAAGATCAAAGACAGATACTACCTTAAGAGGGTATCTTTCTTTCAACCATGCCAACACAAGGCAGGCAGGTAGGGGAAGGGTTAGGTCCCGCTTTCATTCCCTCAGGGCTAGCTCACCTGCACCCCCAACTACAGGGTCAGTTCTAGTGCGATGCCCAGGTGAGTGCAACCTGTGGTGAAAGGGGGAGCCATCATTCCGGAGTGTGGGGGCCAACTCTCCTGCTACAGTATCCAGTGAGGGGCAGAGCCAGCTATCCCATGGCCAGTGAAAGGAGGAGCCAGCTCAATAAAGCCCTTGGAGTTCTACAGGCATGGTTCCTAAAGACCCCTATGTTAACACAGGGCATGTGCATTAACACAGACCCCAGCTACAGCAGGACCTTCATGGCCCTTGCTGAAACTCTGAGTCTCTATGTCACCATGGCACCAGTGGCAGCACAGGCTATGCAAATCAGAATGGCTCTGGAGGCAGTCAGGCTCTCAGACATCAACATCGTTTCAATGGCTGACCAGACCCTGGGCATCTGCAGAGCTCTCACTGGTAACAGGAACAATGGACATCTCCCCAAACTCTGTCCTCTGCAGGGTCAAGAATCTAGATTTGGCCCTAGGAAGCAGACCTGTGACAGTGCAGGCCACTCAAATCTGCATGATTCTGGTTGTGGCATGGCCCTCAGACATCTACATTGCCACAGGTTACAGCTGTGGCCTTTGGTGGCAACATGGCCATAGATATTAATACAGACAATGGTTGTGGTAGGACCAAGGAAATGGACACGGTTCTAGGTAGAAACCTGAGCACTGATGTCACCATGGTACCAGGTGACAGCACAAGTCACTTAGGCTGTCACGGCCCCCACAGCATCAGTGCCTTAGGACACTGAAATGGCCCAAGAGAGGTGCCAGCCCAGTTCCCTGGTATCAGAATGACCTTCAACAGTCTCAGGAGGCACAGATATCAACACAGACATCCTGGGCTGCTTCAGAGCCTTAGATCAAGACCTGACACTGGCAATAGCCCAAGGCCATGTATCATCTTGTACTAGGGAGGCTAGCAGACCGTTCACATCAGCCTGTTCCTTTCTGTCCTCACTGCTTCAGAGATGCTGCTTCCTCCAGTCGGTGAACCATTCTGTTCTTCTCTTTCCATTTCATCACCCTGTACTCAGTTACTATAGTGGGTCCAACTACCTCCTGGAGTGACTGGAGGTGCATGTTTGAGCCCTTCCAGGCCCAGGCACAAGGCATGGTGCAGAGCAGTTGTTTTTTCTCATGTGTGCAGGGGCCTAGCTGCAATTAATAATATATATAATCTAACAGGGAATCCCACAGTCACTGTCATGAGAACTCCTTCTTTACATATATGATTTGAACACTCCTGTGTTCAACACACTGTGCTGTTCTCTGAGAATACAGAAGTGAATTACACATAGGTCTTTCTTATTTGTTTACTAGAAATAAAATATACTGCAAAGCAAAAAGGGATAAATGAAGAAGGAGCTTCACTGAGAAAAGTATTTTCCTGAGTGAGATATTCTTGTGTTTGTCTAATAAATAAAAACACAGTCTAAGCTGAGTGGTGGTAGCACACACCTATAAACCCAGCACTTGGGAGACAGAGGCAAGCAGATCTGAGTTCAAGACCAAATGGTCTATAAAGAAGGTATAGGACAGCCAAGGCTACACAGAATTCCTCTCTTGAAAAACAAACAAACAAAGAGCCAAACAGTCGAAAGGAAGAAAGAAAGAAAAAATACAAACTCAAAATAAGGAGTCTACTATGAAAAGTGATCTTAAATATTCATTTCTTTATTTATGTGTGGTTTTTAATACACATAGCACAAGTTTGAAGGTCACAGGACAACTTGCTGTGGACAGTTTTCTGCTTCCAACATGTGGGTTTAGGTGTTAAACTCAGGTTATCAGTCTTAGTGGCAGGAGTGTTTACCCTCAGAGACGCATTACTGGCCCTGAGTGGTGGTAGCACACACCTATAAACCCAGCACTTGGGAGACAGCCCCCACAGCATCAGCATTATTATTACTTTAATAAAGAATAAATGTGTGTCTTATGTGGTGATGCATAGCTCTAATTCCAGCCATTTTGAGATTAGGATTACACATCAGCCTTGCCACAAAACTAATTTACAAAAACATCAGTAGTGTGATGTTTTCCCAGGTTAGTGAGAAGGTTCAATGCAAATGCCAATCAAGTAAGAAGATAGAGTTAACAGAAGAGATGCTGGTGTTCTATTATTTTGTCCTTATTGGAACTCACCAGTACAGTATAGCATATGATCAAAAAGTTTTCAATGTTTTGCTCCTAAAATTCAGAGATGTTTAAACAGTAGCTTTGATGGAGGTTCAGTAATAAACTGTCTCCTGATCCAAGAAGAGTCTAATAAAGAATGAAATTCAAATGGCATACTCATATATGAAACTCTCAAAAAAGTTAAGTTAAAGTTAGGAAAATTAAATGGCATTTGCTTATAACATACCCTTAGTCTATTTTAATTTTTTAAAAACATTGAAAAGTAAAGTGTAACCTTTCTGACAATGGTATTGAATCACAGAGTGCACAGCATTGGTTTTAATCCTGTCTAGATCTCCCTTCTTGTTGGTCTTTGAATTTTGTAAAAGAATGATGGCAATGTTTACAAAGTATCTGGAGGCCAAAGACCAATTATGATCTTTCTTGTAATTACTGAATCATTTCCATGGTTTCAGTCATTCTACATTTTTATTTTCCAAGGCTTTAAAGCAAGAACCAAAGGAAAAAAATCAGATATGGTCATAAAAGTGGATTTTACTAATATGGATATGACTATACTTTGGTTTAAGATATAAGTAATAACTCATATCCAAACACCTATTTAATTACAATCATATGTGTTCCTCCAATTTCCTGTATCTGTGATCCTCTAAGCGAGTTTTCTACTTCAGTGTCAACACATATTATTGATGGATTTTGATGATAATTTTAGCAGCTCAGGAGTGGAACATATGACAGGCATCCCCAAGGCTATACAGAAGAAAAATGGTGTCCTCTAGAAATTTCAGATTTAAGGAGATTTAAGGAAACAGTAGTTTCCAATGGTATGCATTCACCTTTTATGAGACAGATGTTGAATACATGGTCCACTCACAACAAAATTACTCCACATGACTGAGAATTTTTCATTAAAGTAGCATTGGAATGTGGTTCTCAATTGGAATGGAACAATTGGTTGAGAAAAGGAGGTAAATCCCTTGAACAGCAAGATGGGTTTATAGGTTATAGGATTTCTCAAGATAAAATCCTTGGTGAGGGTCCTTATGCTGATGTGGACGGTCAAGCTGCATTTGATGATCACACCTTGTCCCTGTGCCATGCAGCAGCCTTAAATGCTTGGGACAGGGTTCAACATTTTGCTCTAGATACTTTAAAGATGTGTCAACCTCAGAATGGAAACCAGGATATGTGGCACATTGAGGGGGCTGGAGAGATGAGTGCAGTGTGTGGTGCTCAGGGATGTGGATTGTGGCACACAGGAGAAGCCACTGAGCTAGATACACTTACACAGGGTATGGGTGTTGTTGGTTAACTATATTGAAGGGAAATCACATGAGTAACCGATAGCCCAGGTTAGTGCTCCAAGCACCCATTCTCAGCAGCTCTCTGAGACCTAACCAAAACCCTGAGAGAGGAGGAGTACCTCTCTCCTTAGTCCTTTACCCACGTGCACTGTACACACCTCTGGCCATGCCCAAATGGGCTTGGTCAGCGCCACAGGTGCCTGGAGATCTCTCCCTACAATTCCCCTTTTAATCTAAAGAAAAGATTCAGACTTGATACAAAACTATATACAAAGATGGCAAAATTCAAGTATGCTCTGGGAGAAGAAAATAAGAACAAACACACCTGATACCTGTTGCCAGTGATGCAACTAGAGCAAATGGCAAGAACTGCCTATCTAGTCATTGCCATGAGGCTATCTTAAGATGGACAGTTTAAGTCTTGTACCTAAAATTTCTACCTAGGGAGAGAGAACAATAATTGTGAGTCTAATCTTTGATGAGAAAATCCTCCTCAAAGACTTGAGAAGGAAGATGACAATTC